CAAAAAGAATTCGTGTGACAGTATGGACAGGATTTCCTACTGCTTTCAAGATCTGGACCTATGGAATTCACAAGAGAACCGAACCATACAAGAGATCCGGACATCTCTACACATCGAAATCACCGTGGATCTAGGGCTTACCATGGACCAGGGAAGGACGAAGGCGCTGGCTCTAGGGCGGACGGTGTTGGCGGACCTGGTGGCGGCGCTGGGGCGGACGGTGGTGGCGCAGCAGGGGCCGATGGAGAAGAAGCTGGAGGGGCCAGCGGCGTAGGAGACAACGCCGTCTTCATTCCAAGGCGGCTGCCTCCGCGCCGAATCCCTCCTTTGACTCGCCGCCCGGAGCTACGCGCCGAATCCATGGCGCGCGCGGGGAAGGAGGCGGGAGGCGGGAGGAATCACGCGCGGGGAAGAAGGCAGGTGAATGAAACTATCCCTCTCAATGCGGGTGTCGTGGAGTTACCGAGACCTTGGAAACAGAGCTGGCGAGTGTCGTGGCCATGAAACGAATTTGTTCTCTCTCCTCACCATTTCATGCAAAAAGTGTTCTCATGCTGATGTATCATCCTAATTAATGTGCATGACACTCCCATGACATCCCCATTGAGACTGGCCTTATTAGGCAAAGCAGCGGCTAGAGTTAAGACAATAATGTCACGGTAGGTCATCCGCCCGCCAGGCTAGAATGCACCCACGGGCACGTCCTCAACGCGGCCGCTGGCGAGGTAAAATTGCATGCTGCGTGCTCCCAGTAACGCCGCTCGACGTGGCAAAATCTAGGAGGGGTAGCAGAGGGGAATCCGGCGTGGACAGCTTTAACAGATATGGCCGTCTTGTCGAGGGTTTAAACGGGGCGTTGGGATTAATGGGGCGTCCCATCGCCGCGTCTCCGTGAAGAGGCCGGACGGGAGGGGGTTGGGCATTGAATTCGTTCTCGGTCAACCGGTTAGTGGCCACAACAGCGGCTGCCTCATCAACATGGATTTGGAGCTCCATCGTCCCTAGCCGGAGCTTGCCAAGCAGGGAGATGAAGGAGGCAACGTTCGTGGACGCGACATAGACACGGAACAGGTAGGGCCGAACAGGCCGAGCTCTCAGGACCACTGGGGGAGCCGTAAGGTGGAAGGAGAGGGTGTTTGAAACTTGTTTAGGGTTCAGGTTTATCGGAAAGGAAGAGGAGGGCGGCGTAAGCCAGAGAGTACCTGGCCGGCGCGCAGGGACACCAAGGAGCGAGGGAGCAGCGGTGGAGAAGAAGTCGCAGAGGAGAAGCTCCTCATTGCCAAGCCTGGGCGCTCCCGCAGAACAACGTTGACGACGCGTGGCGGCTCGGGGTGAAGCGGACAGGGCATCTCCGGCAGCGACTGTGAGGCATCATCGGTGGAGTGGTGGTGGGTGGCTTGGATGGCTGTAGGACTATTGGGGGACAGGGGATACGCCGGAGCTGGCGGCGCGAGGGGCGCCGACCCTAGATATATTCAGCCTGTTCGCTGGGTCGTATTTGGCTTATAAGCTATGGCTTATAAGTCAACGAACAATATTTTTTCTCTCACATCAAACTAGCCAACAGTACTTTCAGCCATGACTGTAAGCCAAACTAGCCCAAACGAACAGGGCGATTTTCAGCCGAACTTCATCTTTGCACATTCCCGAGAGTAGGTTTATTAGAGGCATCGTCACGGACTACGAGCGAAATGCCAACTTCCTCGGCGATGAAGAACTCGCATACGTACATACAGGAGGTATGGTGCGCTAGTTTGCTCACTCCTTGGAGCCAATTGCCCTCAACGACTCTTTCGGGGAAAAAAACATCTCAATGGCTCAACCACCCGGCTGGCGCCTCTCGACAAGACTGGTGGTTCTTTCCTGTGTGGATCGCACTGAATGGTGAATATCAGCAAGGGGTTTGATACGCAATTTTCCCTAGTTGTCTGGAGATAGAAATGATAGGGTTTTCAAAAAGGTGGCCTCTACAGTGCAACAACTCATGTCATCAATTCGAGACGAGGATGAATTCTGAATTGAGATAGCAAAGGCTCGCGGGATGGGTAACTTGTTCGTCGCTCTTGTTCAATCGTCAATTTTTATGTAATATACACAACCCTCTTGCTATAGTTGGCCAAACGGGCCGCACGGCACAGCACGGCGCTAGCACGGGCACGGCTAGGCACGGCCAGACACGGCACTACACGGCACGGTAGACTAGCCGTGCCGTGCCTGTTGGTGCCTCTGTGCCGAGGTGCCGGCCCAGGCACGGCACTATCAAGTCTTAGCCGTGCCGTGTCGTGTCACTAGGCACGGCGGCCCAGCAGTGCCGCCGCTTGCTGGGGCTGCGCCGTCTTGTCACGTGCATCTGCTCGCGCGCTGGAGCCGCGTTGAGCCCGCATCCTCCCCGTCGGATCCGCCGGCGTGCTCGTGCTCACTGGATCCATCGCCAGCGGACTCCTCCACGCCGGATCCGTCGCCAGCAGACTTCTCCGCGCCATATTCGCCGCCAGCAGACTACTCCACGCCAGATCCACCGACGGGCTCGTGCTTGCCGGATCCGCCACCAGCGGACTCCTCCTCGCTGGATCCGCCACCGAAGATCTCCTCCCCGCTGGATCCGCCGCACTGCGGGCTCATGCTTGCCGGATCCGCCACCAACGAACTCCTTCTCGCTGGATTAGCCACCGGAGAGCTCCTCCTCGCCGGATCCGCCATCGGAGAGCTCCTCCCCGCCGGATCCGCCACCAGCAGACTCCACCTCACCGGATCCGGGCCAGGAGATGGATAGAGAGAGGCTGTCGCGCCGCCGCCGCGTCTTGCACTTGCGGCCGCCACACCGCCTCGCCGAGGCTGTCTCACCGCCGCGTCGTCGCGCCGCCGTTGCCGCGCCTAGCCAGCTCCCCCACGCGGCCACGCCGAGGAAGTCGCCAGGGCCGAGACGCGAGGAGACAGGAGGAGGAGGAGGAGGAGGAGGAGGAGGAGCGGGACACGACCTCGAGGATTTGGCCATGGAGACGGGATGTGAGGAGGAGCGCCGTGGGGAGTCGGGGAGAAGACGGGATGGGGAGGAGGAGCCGTTGCTGGATATGCTGGCTGGTGGAGTGTTGGGAAATATCTGAGCTAGGGTTTGGATGTGCTTATATACTCTCATCCAACGGCTAGAACACATCCTGAGATCATCCAATGGCTAGAAAAGATCGGGCCAGATCGTGCTGGCCCATTAACCGTGTCGTGCCCGTGCCGGCACTGCGGGCCGAACCTACGGCCCAGGCACAGCCCTACATCGTGCCCGTGCCGACACTGGCACTATAGGCCTCGTGCCAGTGCTGTGTTAGTGCCGCGCTTTTTCGGGCCGGGCCCGGGCCGGCCCATCGCGCCTGGCCCATTTGGACATCTGTACCTCTTGCGCCCGACTATGTGCACATCCGCACGTCTTATAGGCATTGTGCGTCATATATAATAATAATACCCAACCCTATTGCTCGCTAACTCTACAGGTAGCTGACTACCTATGTATAGGGGGGGGGGGCACTTGTGGGTTTGATCCTAAGTTGAGGAGCTTGATACCACTAGCGATCTTTGTATAGTTCATGGGATCAAAAGCGATAAATACTTGTGTCATCTCAAAAAAGAAACATAAGACATCTGTGCCATCGGCCCCTCACCAAAATGTCCCTTAAAAACGTTCAAAAGTGCAAGAGCAGGCTGATTCTCCAGAGCCCAATATCATCATCGACTATATATGGTGAGTTGGTGACAAACCGGGTCTCTTGCCGTTGAAATCAAAGGAAAATCCAAACGGGCCTCCACATCCGCTTTTAGGCCTCGCGAACAGGGCCTCTTGCCATAAGCTAGCGTAGCCCAGCCACACCACCGTGCGGTGTCAGGCTCCAGGTGCTTGTTGAAATCAAAGGAAAACACAAATACTAGCGTCTCCAGACTCCAGAGAGTCAAACCATCAGTGCTAGATTCAGTAGACCATTTTCACTCAAATATGATTCGTACGCAAATGTTCAAAATTGCTCCATGTTATCCAATACAACATTATATACAACATGATTAATGTTACCTTGTGTTATGGGGTGTAGCTAGGACAATCAGACCTAGGACAGAAACAGAAACCCTGCCCTACTGCCTTAAACGAGCTAGCAAGGAAAGCAAAATCCCGTATAGCCAACATGTGTTACTGTATTTTTGAGTATTAATTAATATACTGAATTCTGAGCAATCCCGATGGTCTTCAGGTTCCCAATGGTGGCTAACCTGGCCAGTCTCAGGATAACGTTCATCACAAATCTGCAGAAACTGAAACCACATCAGTAACAGGACCCACATTGCTAGTTGCAAGTTGCAGCTGATGATAAAGAGGCTATGAAGCATAAAGAGAAGTGAATAAAATGAATGCAAATAACTTGGTACTTTATGCTTCAACTAATTGCACTAATTTTAAGGCAGTTCTCATATTTTATATGTAGTTACATACTGACAAGAAATGCTCAATCACTTATCCCCTTTTCAGTTTTTATACAATAAGGTAAGCTTATTTACTGAGTGTCAGAGAAAGGAATATGTTCCTGACGAAGATAAATGGCAAAACAACGCCTTACACTTTCAAACGGAGGGAGTATAAACGTATATATGGTAAACCAAAACAGAACATGCTCCTTTACTACTGTTTTGTGTCTGATAAGACTATCAATGCTTTCGTTTGGCGAAATAGCATCATTTATCTGCTTCTGTGCACTGTTTCTACCAAAATAAAATGGAATGAAAACCCGCACACCCTAGCAAGTGACCAAACATCAACAGAAATATGACCCAGAAAGTCTTCTGTTTTTACAAATTCCTAGTATGACTGACATCAACCTGATCAGTACTAGTGGACATCAGATGCATAGTTTTCCCTTTGCCTTCAGAGACAGGCAACTAGGCACAGAAATTCAACAGCAGAGTAAAATTACGTATGCATGCTTTGTGTAAAAAAGAGAACTGAATGAGGTAATGGCATACGTCAATTAGTACGTACCATATTGAGGACTTTTGCAGTTCTGTTGTGCTTCCATCTGACAGTCCTGCATTAGAAGGGCCTTGTCCCTCTTAAGTCTCATAAGTGTCTCAACCTCCTTCTCAAGGCCTCCATATTTTCCTATCTCAATATTCTCAGTGCCAGGTGCAGTTTTGCCAGGGGCCGGCTGCAGATCACTATGTGCATCCTGAGATGATTTCTTCTTTCTCTTGATGGTCTTCAGAAGATGTTTTTGCCCCTTAACAAAACCTTCATCAGCCCATTCCCATCTATCTGGATCACCTTAATAAAATCCCTGATTATGAAAAAGAACACTAGTAAATTCACGAAACAACAGAAGTTAAGATTCAACATGAACTTAAAGCATAAAACAAGCGGACAAAATAATAGTATAAACAATGCTGGTCTAGAGAGAGGAACACAAATCGTTCATCAATGGCTGCGATCCAGTCATTCAAACCCAAACTGAATAACTATAGCTTAGTTCCAAACATAAATATCATATCCAATATATAGATTTAACACAGCAACTTATCCTTTAGCAACCTACTGAGCCTATAATCTGATCCATATAAGAACAGGAATAGTTCATACCTCTAGTAGAAGCATTAATCACTGGTGACACCACCACGGTGATATCTGCAACTGCAAACAAGTAAAAAATGACAATTACCAGTTAGTTAATTTGTTCAACCCAATCAAGCAAGCATAAAACTCGATCAAAGGAGCTTATAGCAAGGAGAAAAACCATATTATACCTCTCAAAAGCATGCATTTTACCTGCCTTACATCTGCATCTACTGCATCACAACTCCAATGCAATGCAATGTGTGATCGTTGAACCTCTTGGCACATCCAGGAACAGAATAGTGTCCCTAGAGACCACCTTTCCTCTTAGCCGTCCCTCATCGACCCTTGTAATCCGAATGCTTGCCCATTCGATCACCACCATGCTCCTCACTTCCCCATTGCCTTTTCCTTTTCCTTTCCCTTTCCACTTCCCTTCCCAAACCAAGTAGAGCAATCCTCCAACATTGGCAAGTGTGGCGCCGCACAAGAACTTCGGTAGCTCCCTCTCCAACCCCTCCACTGTGCTCCACGAATCAGTGTCTGGATCATAGCCCTTGACCTGCCCCAGGTAGTCGTAAGAGTAGAGGATTCCTTCAACCACCGCAGCTCGGCCCTTCCATCCCATGTCAAGCACCGGCGACACCGGCGCCCACGCCTCCGCAGGTGGCGCCTTAGGATCGTAGGCCAAGCCGCCACGGTCCGCCACCGCAAGGACCTTCCCGGCGAGCGACGCGCAGCCGTGCATCCACTTCTCGCGGAGGTGGGCCGGGCTGGCGACAGCTCTCCACTTGGCGTGCGGGGTGGAGAGGTCGAGAGCCTCGGCCCAGAAGGGGGACGACGGGACGCAGCCGCCGGCGACGAACAGCACGCCGGAGTGCGCGACGGCCGCGGCGAACTCCCGCGTAGAGGACAGGCGCGGGCCGACGGACCAGGATCTGGCCCGGGGATCCAGTATCTGCACGGACGCAGCGGGGACCGCGGACACGGATCCGCCGACGAGGAAGAGCCGGTTCCCGTCGGTGGCGGCGGACGCCGAGGACGAGACGGGGATCGGAGGGGAGGGAAGCGGAAGAGGGGGCCACCCGGGGTTCGGGAGCAGGAGGAAGAAGAGAGGGGACGCGGAGGAGGGTGGACGGAGGGAGAGGAGGATGTGGGGCTCGGAGCGGCGGAGGGCGCGGCGCGCGGCGAGGAGGGGCTCCGGGTGGCGGCACATGAGGGTGTGGAACGCGCGGGAGACGAGGGCCAGGGATGGGTGCGCGGCGCGCGGCAGGAGCGCGATGCAGTGGACGGCCAAGTCGTCTGGAAGCGCCGGGATGAGGCTCCCGCGGACCTGCGCCGTCGGTTGACGCGAAGAGGTGGGCTCGGCGGAGGCGGACATGGCTAGCCGTCGGCGGTGACTCGCCGGCAGAGGAGGAAAGGCATGTGGAAGTAGTGCCGTGCGCCCCTGGCCGCCCGAATGGGGATATTCTTCTGGCCCACTATGCAAGATGGGCCGAAATGTGATCTTGTAAGCTAATTTTGAGCCCGTTTCCGAAAGACCTGCACCAAAAATTACTCACCCACGGACCCACCGGTATAAATGCTCGTACAGTCATACTCACACAAACCTATTTTTAGGCTAAACACCCAAAATACAAGACTCATTCGTCCTTTAGTTAGTGCTATAGGCAAAAGGTTCGATACATATTTGGCATTTTCTTCAACAACAAGACCCAAAAGAGAATCCTTTCTACAAATGGGTTTTCAGGAGAGATGATGCCCATATTTGGGTTGTGTCTCTCAGGCAACCCAAAATAGGTCTTCCGTATAGGTACTCTGTTGGAGGTTAATTTTGGATCTCTTGCTACCTATTTTGGGTTTGGGTGCCTATATGACTTGCTTGTTGGAGAGAGTCTTACGAGAGAACCTTCCATAGCATATACCGTGAATAAACAGTTGAATGCATTCATAAAATTGTGAGCACACGTACAAAATTTAGAACATATTAATTTTAAATAGGATAGTTTCACAATACAATTTTTCATTGAATATATTCCACAATAATTTTTCGCTCATAAGAGAAGCTCGAGTAGTGCCTCATTGGTTTTGCTTACTGCTTAAGTGCTTAGCGAAATCAACGCCGTAGCGGAGAGTTGATGTACATAATGTGGGCATGGTTTGTTGGGATCTGTTAGACCCCGGAATTCATATAGGTGCGATCCAAAGTCCAAACAGAGCCTACATGTTCCGGCCTTTATACAAGACATATGTACTCGACCATAAAAAATTCAGAGCTTATTAGGCTTGTTCGGCTGATCCCAAACCTGACTTAATCCGCTTCTTTTTTTATCCGGAACAGTATTTTTTTCTCACGTATTCATCCATAAACAGTAAAATTCATCCGCTACAGTGTTTCTTTTATCTCAGCCGAACACAGCCATTATATAGACAGAAATCTTTACCCGAGGGAGTATTGTTGTCTATCTGTGCAGCCTGCCGTCTGCATCTGCTGCGTGTTGTCTCCATGTTCGTGTTCGTGGTGCCAGATCTTTATCGCGGTAGCCGGTGGGGCACGCACTGCTCGGTGGATATATGTCCACCGGCTCCTGGCCAGCGGTTGCATGGGGAAGCGTCGCATTGGCCGGCCCCCTCTGGCCATGCATGGTCCCTTGCCTTTTTCTATTCGCCGCTGATGTGCTCTCTACGTGCCATTGACATCCGTTCCGTTAAGGTGTGCAAATCGTTTCGATCACTTTTCCTAGAGATAGTTAACCACACACGCTAGGTGCAGGCTCAATCTGTAGGTCAATTCTAGGGAATTTTTGGCTTTTTCATGGGCACATATTTTTCAGGACTGCAACTTTGGCACCCAGCGTTAGTGTTTCTTTTGCAGGCACTTGGTTCAACACGCCTATAAACCCTCCCAATATGAATATGCGGGTAGACACATGCTACTTTGAACACTTAATAGCAATGCGCATAACACATATACTCTCTTCGTCTTAAAAAAAAAGTATCGCTACGTGGTTTATGTTGTCAAATTTTCTTAAACTTAACTAAATTTGTAGAAAATATTAATATTTATTTCTCAAAACAAGTCTATTATAAACATATATTTGACGCTATATCTAATGATATTGTAACACTAGTTATTTCTACACCATAAATATTAATATTTTTATACATATTCAATTAAAACAGTAATTGTACGATTAAGACGTCCGTCCGGTCGTGTGTGTCTAGACATCCCCATTCTCGGGCCTGTCACCTGTGCAGCAATCGAGCCCAATAGACAACAGCCTGGTTCTAGAGCTCTCTCCTCCATCTCTACTCCATGATAGAACCCCCACTAACAAAAATCCCCAATCGCTTTGCTCGTCACGGCTTCACCCCATCGTGCATTCACTCCACTCCGCCTCTCCGCTGCGTGCGGCGCCCCCATCCTACTCTACACCACGTCTGGTGCCACGCCACGCCCACTCCTCCTCAGAACCTCGTCGACGCCGACACGGTGTAGGATCTCGGGTTAGCCTAGAAGGGAGCGTGAATAGGCCTGTTAAAACAAAACTTGAACTTTTGTCAAATTCCACCCGCGGCACTGCCGGACCAGAACAGCGACACTGCCGCACATACAGACAACTTTGATATACAATTCAAAAATTGAGTATGGAAACTTAGATCGAAGAAATTACTAAGCTTCCTGCATGTATATGGATCACAGATCGACAATTACAAAATGGTAGAAATACCACACACAAGTAGATCGGCCTCAAACCCTCGAAATCACATCAACAATAATATAAAATTCAAGTAATGTAAATCAAGCACAAGGTGACATAAGGATTTATCCCGTGGTTCAGCTCGTCACCAAGGCTTGTCTAAGTCCACGTTGTTGAGGTTAGCCACTAAGGCTTAGGGCTTTGCAACCCTTTCTCGTTCTCAAGACAAGAAGATTAATTCTTGAGATGAGGGGTGAGTTTACTAGCTTCAAAAGATGGTTACAAACCTCCCGGGTCTGCCATACAAGTTGGCAAGCTCCACGGACGACGCTCTAGCCGGCTAGGAGCCAAGCTCCAAGGGTAACAAACACAACCGCTGACCAAAACATGAACCAAGTGCTCTTTAGAGTTGGGGAATCAAATGATCTGCTCTCTAATCAAGTTTGGAACCTTTTTCTCTCAATGATTGATAGGGAAAATCAATGGAGAAGCTTGGGAGTTCAAGGTCACTAATAGAGGAGAGAGAGAAGAGCACTCTTCTGTTCTTTCACGAACTGAACGATTAGGAAGAAAGAGAGAACCATTGGAAAGGGATGGGAAAGGTATAAATACCCCTCAACCCCAACGGTCAGTTAAGTCGCGATAGTGCCATGACTCAACTATGGCAGTGTCTCTCTCTAGGTGCGACACTGCCGCACCAGGCAAGACAGCAAGGGTAAGATTGAAGTGTTGATTGTCTTGGCTGAGTAGCTGAGGATGCATGTGTAGAATTGAGCACTTTGTAGCATATATTTGCTTAAGCATTGTGTCCCTCTTTATAGTACGGCTTTTCCTATACTCGAATTTGAAATATAAAAGGAAATTAAACCTCCTTTGAGTTTGAAGCCGTCAACAATTGTAATTGGGGCTCCTCCGTTTCGTATAACATCCTCGATTATAGATTTCCTGTTTGTCATCTCGATAAATCTCATTAGTTCTCTAATTGCGTAGTCATCATCACAAAAACCCACAAATGAGGCTTGATTGTACTTTCACATGGTCGACGAGTCAGACATCTTCGGCGGTATAGGGGACGACAACGACGACCTCCTCCGAGCGCTCATCAATGCGGATCTCCCTGGCGGGGACCTTGACCTCGGCGTGTGGAACCTCCTGGGCGTCGCGGTGCTCTCCTTCGCCGGTGTGCCTGCACTGCTCGGTACCTCGTCCAAGCAGCAATGTGACATTTGCGCAGCGCATGTTGCAAGCTTACATTTCAAGTGTTTCAGATGTTTCATCTGGATGTTGCAAGTGTTTCATTGTGATATTGCAAAGTAGATCGTGATGTTGCACGTGTTGCAATGGCTATAGACGTATGTTTTAAATGTATGTTCTAAATGTTTCATCTATTTTTTAGACATTCATTGTAAGTGTTTCATCTAGATGTTGCATATGTTTCACACGTAGTGTTTTATCCGGATGTTGCATATGTTTGCGATGCTTTTCAAGAGTTTTCAAGTGTTTTGCAAGTGTTTCAGACACATGTTGCAAGTGTTTCAGCAGCTTCGTTTGTATGTTGCAAGTGCCATCTAGATGTTTTAAAAGTAGATCGGGATGTTGCACGTGTTGCAATGTGCCTACCCTGCCACAACCGCCTGCTGCAGCTACTTGGGCACCCTGCATGCGCGTGGGGAGCGGATGGATGGAGCGTTACTCAACAGTGGGCGCAGGAAGCGGAGGGCGATGGTGGCTGGGGCGCAGGCGGTCCCCGCGCGGCATGCGGGTGCGGCAAGCGGAGGGGGCACAGACGCAAAGCGGAGGGGTGCAGGCGTCCGGACATAGGCGTGAAGTGGGGGTGCAGTTTCCTGGAAGCAGCAGACGCCGGCATCACTTTAGCCGTGGGTGTTCGTTCCGACATCCGCAGGCTAGCAGTGCCACCTCATGCGATGTATATGGTCCATTCAATCTACTCTCATCCCTACTCACACGGTCCACAATCACCTCTCACAAAAGCGGGCGCAGCGAAACGCACTTATCGAACCAGTTGGCTAACGAATAGGAAAGAAACCATGCAATTGCTTCTCCCTGGCCTACCTTTCCAAAGATACTAACAAGGACGTACGCATGAAAATCAGAAAGCAGCAAAATCTAAACCTCACACACGAACACACCACAGCCACGGAGCCTCCTCCTCAAGATAAGCCTTATCCTGCAATGGCGCGACCACAGCGACCCACGTCGGACTCCCACGCTGACATGGCGCGTCGAACAAGCTCCTCCCTATCCACCCAACCTACTTTAGCCTTTCTCCGCGCCAACCATCCCCACTCCTGCTCAGGTCCTGCCTCCCCGCTCCAAGAACACGCCAGCGCGCTCGTGAGCTCGATCGATCACTGTGTCGCTCGCTTGCCATGGCCGCCACCGCGTCTCTGTCCGCCGTCGCGGCGCCGCTGTCCGTGGCCGGGCTCAGGAAGCCGCTCGGCGCGTCGTCGTTCCGGCCCCTGCAGCCGAGGGCGGCCAGGATGACGACGGTCGTGCGGGCGTCGGCGTCATCGTCCGTGAAGGAGAAGGCGGCGGCCGGGCTGACCGCGGCGGCCCTGGCGGCCGCGCTGGTGGTGCCGGACGTCGCGGAGGCCGCGCAGTCGCTCACGCCGTCGCTCAAGAACTTCCTGCTCAGCATCGTGTCCGGCGGGGTCGTGCTCGTCGCCATTGTCGGCGCCGTCGTCGCCGTCTCCAACTTCGACCCCGTCAAGAGGGCCTGATCTGATCGATCCATCCATCGTTAGGAGGCACGTCTCCCCCTTTGTCTTGTCCTGTCTGTATCGACTGGTGCTGCTGTATCTTCCTTTGTGTTAATTAATTTTGGAGAATGTCCAGACATATATATCTACGATACGGAGTTCGAGTTAATCATTGCTTTTTGTACATGTTTTTTTTCCCTGGAAAACGCTTTAATTTGATGCATGCGTATTTTAAAGTTTAAAGTTTGTTGAGACTTGTCTCTGCTTGTCTATATGCTACTAGGAACCCATCTTCAATCTGATTTATACAAATGTTATTAGATGAGGGGCAAACTATATTATCTTCGTTCCAAATTTAAGGTCTGATTTTTATACATAGTTTTTTACTGTTTATTTAAGCACAGCGTACATTCAGGTACATAACATGATAACAAAAGTTATGTTTCTATGAAACCAAAACGATATATAATTTTGGACAGATGGAGTATATGGTTAAAACAATATATAAATTGCATGATAGATACCTTTGGAGCCAGAATTTTTATTATAGCACACAGGAGTGGTCCAATGGATCCAATCAAAGCACGGGGGGAATCACTAACCATTGGTCAAGTTAGTCATTTTATATGTTGTCTCATTCAAATATATGTTGTTGTTTTGAATCAATTTTCTTATATAAGATAAAATTTAGTACTCCCAAAGTCTTATAGGATTAAAATGTAGTTACACTTAACTCGCAAGAAAAATATATATAGCTAAACTAAGCCTCCTCAGGGCGTCAACTTTCTAATATGACTTTCATTGGGAGTCAAGGTTGCCCACACGAACAAAATTTGGCAAGGTAAGGGCGTGTTCTTTTTCATGGGTGAAAGGACTAAAAACTAAATTTTAGTCTCAATTAGTTCTTTTGAACCAAACACCAGGGACTAAAATATAGACTAGGGACTAAAATATAGTAGTCTCTTTGGAGGCTGCTAATTGGGACTAATGGACCCTTTACGGCCCATACCCCTCCCTCTCTCTCCTCCCTCGCAGTCTCTCTCTTCCCCTTTAGTCCCTGAAAACAAACACAATTTTAGTTTATGATTTAGTCTCTAGTCCTAGGACCAGAGAAAAACGTCCTAAGAAAACTATGGTTGATGAGTTAGACATAGCCGAGATCCATCTATCTCACAACTCTAGCAATGCCCCCTAAAAGTAGGATGGTTGCGAGCAGAAGTCCATGGGAGTGTTGAATTCAGGAAAGTTGGACTTTTAATCTTCTCTCCCAATAGAGCTGCCCAGAATCACCAAAAAAAAATCATATCATATTTATGTGCTACCATCATCCGCTAATTGGCACGAGGAATATCAAATGAATCCTAAATATAAACTGATTGTCAAATGTATCAAACGAATCCACTTAAATATCACATGTATATCGGTAACTACACTGATAAAAAAACTAATAATAAAATCTATACTTCAATTTAGATCTTGGAGAAGCAGTGGATGCGACTAGGGGAAGGGGCACATGGTGGTGGAGGGCACCATAGTCGTGGGACGTCAACTAGGTGAAGGCCGCACCAAGACGGGGTAGGAGAGGCCGATAGTGGAGGGAAGTGGGAGGAAGGTCGAGAGGAAGGAGAGGGGACTCTGTGGTGGTGAAGGCAGCGCCAGGGTAGGGTAGGATCTAAGGAGGAGGTAGTTGCGTCTAGACTCTAGAGACAGGACGACAAGCAAGGAGGAGCCAATACTCCACAATAGAGGGAGGCCGACGTCATGGACACAAGCTCAGGGACGAGAGGAGCGTTACATGGTGGATTGGACGGCTGGAGAATGAGGGTTCGAGACTCGATCCGAAGGGGCGCAAGGGAACAGAAACTAGGGCTCTCCTAGTCTTTGGAGCCCAAGAAAGAGGGTTTGAGAGGAGAATTTAGAGCATTGTAGTCCCTCTGTCCAAAAAAAAATACAATTATAGAAAATGTATTGGTCCAATTAGTTCAACTTTAACCAAATTTATAATAAATAGTATTAACATTTATGTCTATAAATAAATTTATTATTAAAATATATTCTATAACTAATCTAATGATACTTATTTTGTCTCATGGGTGTTAGTACCTTTCCATATAATTTTGATCAAAGTTTAAACTGTTTGACTTCTCAAAACGTGAGAATTCCATTTTTTTTTGGACGGAGAGAGTACTTTTTAGAACTGAGCACGAGCTGAGTTTTTTTTACCCAAATCCTCAAAAATAGAGTAAGCGATCGAACAGGAGACTTGCTAGAGTAGGAGCTTGAATATAGGAGTCAGCTCCTATCCGCAGCCCACAAGCTGACGACGTGAACAAACGGGTAGTGCGAGAATCACTATGTAACAGTCAAAACAGATCGCTGCTTCCTCCAAAGTAACACGTCACTTCGCGTGGCTGTGTGAGGAGTTGTAAAAAAAATTTACTCTGCACCCAGTTCTCGGTTTCCTTGGACGAAACAGTGCTCATTATCCACGTATTTGACTTCCAATTTCGATTCCTTCATTTCTTAGTGCCTGTTTTTTAGTTTTATTTCTTTTTCCGTCACATGAATCTTTTTACGCATGTATGAAGCATTAAATATAAATAAAAATAAAACTAATTACACAGTTGAGACAAAATTCAATTTGCAGAATTGTCAAAATAACCTTTACAAAAAAAACGCCAACTAACATATCTTAGTTGTGGCCCTGACGCAATTGCAGAGCACCACAACACATATCTGAAAAGTGTAGGCGTTGACCTCAGAGGTCTTGAACTGCTGCTGCACCTGTTTGCATCGGCTGGTATATATTGGTCGAATAATCTTCAGCTATGACCAAGCTAGTTTCTGATCTGTTGGCACACACTCCTATCTAAGATGATCGTGATCTGAGCCACATCGAGGTGTTGATTAACAAAAGTGGATTTACAGTCACTGACTTCTCCACAAGTCAACTTTCAGGATCATTGGGTACGCAGAAAGTAAACTAATCTTCTCTCTAGGCAGTATTGTATTAGAGTTGACTTTGACTCGAACACCAGCTTCATCTGCTTCATGCATGTATTTATTTAATCTTTTATTTATTACCGGTCTTTGGCTCCTTTGCCTACAAGAAATGGCTCAAACTCGTAAACTTATATAATCTTGTACCAAAGTAATACGCATTGTAGTAAAAGGAAAAGATTAAAAGAATAGCACCCAATCTGACAAACATCGTCCGCAGGGGCGGATCCAGGCTCTTCTCGTGTCACAGGGGACTAATGAGCTAGTTGACCTTTTCATGTGTTTTTTATGATACTGATTCCCACAGTTCTTGGGCCTCGCCCCGGGCTGCAGCCCAGGCAGCCCGGGGCCTGGATCCGCCCCTGATCGTCCGAGAGGCCAAAACCATTTGCGCTCTTTTTACAATCAAGATTCAGATCGCATAAGAAAAGATTAAAAAAAGTATCTTGAAGATCATGAAAAAAATAAACCACATCCAATGCAACTATAGGATGATCAGCATCAGCAGTCAGAACAATACATGAGCAATTAGGTGTTTCTACCAACAATGCATGAAGCACGATTAACGACCGAGTTGGGTAGACAGAGTAAGAGTAGCATACAACAAGTGTTGTACAGTTAGTTAGGCACGCACAAACCATTTCTTCTCTTCTTGCATGCATGCGGCCATGTTACCACGCACGTTCTCCATATTCACATCTTATTTCCTAAGTAACAATTTTTTTTTCTAAATCTGATTAACTTTATAGAAAAAACTATGAACATTTTTGTATCTCTATAAATAATACGGAGTATAAGTCTAGCTATTATGAAAATATATGGCAACTAATATATTAATATTTATTATGCATAGTATAGATATTAATGCTTTTTTGTTATGTATTTGGACAGAGGGAGGGAGTAGGCGCGTGCTAGACTGCTGGAGTGACGTTCAGCATATGCATCTGTCAATGACACAAGGCATGCAACAACCACCAACATGACCGACCACTTAAAAGGCCGGCTATCATTTTCGGTCGTGAGAGTAGCATACAACGGTCACAAAGGCGAACACGCCACATTATTTCCGGCCTCGACATCCAAAACTAGCAAGCCACAAGCTGGAGTAGCTGAGGCATGCATGGAGACATGGACCGTGAGGGCGGCCGCTCGCCTTAGCTAGGCCTGTTGGGACCTGGGGACGGCCTTGCACACCAGCGGCGAGGCCATCTCCAGCGACATGTTGAGGCGCTCCGACAGGTCGACGCCGCCACCTGCGGCCGCAGGGGCCCACTCGAATCTGTGCAGCAGCTGGGCAACCCAGAGGTGGGTGGTGGCGAGTGCCAGCATCTTGCCGGGGCAGACGCGGCGGCCGGCGCCGAAGGGCGCCAGGCGGAGATCGCTGCCGAGGACGCTCACGTCCTCCTCCTCCTGGAACCGCTCGGGGCGGAACTCCTCCGGCTCGGCCCAGACGGCGGGGTCGTGCGCGATCGCCCACATGTTCACCATGGCCGTGGTGCCGGCGGGGACCAGGTGGGCGCCGACGTGCGCGTCGTGGATGGCCAGCCGCGCCCACGACAGGAGCGGGCCTGGAGCGTGCATCCGCAGCGTCTCCTTCACGATGCTCTGCACGTAGGGCAGGTTCACCACGTCGTCGTCGGCGATGCTGCGAGTGCCCACGACGGCGTCGAGCTCGGATTGCGCCTTGGCTTGGATGTCTGGGTGCAGCGCCATTCTCGTCATGATCCACTCCATGAGGATCGCCACGGTGTCCGCGCCTCTGAAGATCATCTCCTGATCATAACAAAAACAAACCATTTTTGCATGAACGCAAAGTTTAAGAGCATGTATTTGAAATATCCAATCTTCTCAGAAAGAAGATGCAAACTAAACACTTTCGATCTTACCCAAAGAACAGCGATCATGTCTGAATCGGACAGCTTCTCCTCTCCCTCGAGGTCAAGAAGGACGTCGACGAAGTCGGCCAAGAACTCATCGTCGTCGACTCCTCCATTCGCGCGCCTCGCCCTGTGCTCCTGAAT